CTGGAACCCATAATTTCTCAGTCAACAACCTACCCGAAGTTTACTACGGTCCGTGTCTATATGCACGGGGCGTATGTACGGCCCTGTATGTACTGAGTTCCTGAACATTTAGAACTCATAGAATATGTTTAACTCGAGACAGATAAAATCTTTTTCAAACCGAGAAAGACCATAATACTGGGTAACTGTGGACTATTTTAGTTGTCCTTTAGATTTAACGATTCTTTAGTTATCAGCCTGGAACCCATAGTTTCAGTCAACAACCTACCCGAAGTTTACTATGGTCGGTGTCAGTACGTACGGAGCTCTTTCTACTGTAGACTATATCTGTTTGTTTATATACTTCGCTTTCCGAAAGCATGCGGTTTCTTTCCTTCTTCTTAAAAAAGCTTTCCGCCAACTTTCCCCCTTCCTTGTATAATTTGTTAAGCTACTTTCATTTTTTGCCGGCCCAATGTTTTCTTCTTTATAAATTTTGAATATGCTTTGTAGCAAGTGTTCAACGGTTAAGAAATCATGAATGCACAGGCATTACTAGTATTTCTAGTGTCTTTAGCCTATTTGTTGTGTTCAGACAACGAGGTTCCTTTTTGTTTTCCAAATGTATATTTATTCATTACCAACCCGTGAACAATCCCGAACACCATTCATATGACAAGACCGTTTGGGGAATCTCCGCCCTGTTTGCCAGGAGGAGGTCATGTGACAGGGCGTTACCCAATGATAGACAAGAGTGGGTTTTTCAAATCTACTGAAAATACCAGTAATCATTTTGCTGTGCGTCTACTCGATGGAGGCCTAGACTTGTTTGAACCCGCAAGTTGTGGCCGAGACATTGCTTTTATCACCAGAAGTGGCCACGACGGAACTAAGACAAATCTACCATTCTGTACAAGTCTGTGGAATGGCGTAGATTGGAGATATTGAACATGTCACGTCGCAGAAGGGGAAGATCACGGCCGTATTGTATCGTCCTAACCGGGAGCAGCACAGATTTAGAAGTTGAACAAGAACGCGACCTGACCATCGCAGGAACAAGTCATCGGATTATTCCTCTTGCGGTGACCACATCGATATCACATGGAATAGTGGGCAAATGGACACTGGAATTGGAATAGTCAAGGACAGTATAATGTCCTTGGAATAGTGCATTCGGATACAGCCTGAAAGAAAACCCTGCCCTGGTAGCCAGTCTGGACCGGGCCTCCAGCCAGTCCCCGTCGGCGGAACATGGCGGTATGCCCGCCGATCTACATGAGCGGTACGGGGGAGTACCCCGAGGGAAGTTTGCCGCTCGGGCAGTAACTCGCCCGACGACCTAGCCTGGATGCAAGACCCACAAAAAATAACTGTGGGTCTAGTGTGCTTTGACTTTGGCATCCAGGCGACCGACGGCCCGATCCAGCCAGTCTACCAAGGCAGGAAAGGCTAGCCCTGGCACAGAAATTTACTGTTTATTAACGGCAAATAAACGCACAAATAAAGCAAAATAAACTTCAATATTACACACACGTTAAGGGTACTTTACGGCACCTCTAAGCGTACTGCAAAACCCGAAAACCATGACGGAAAGAAGTTTTAAAGGTCTCCAATAGATTACGGAAAGGCCACAATAAACGCATGCTTTCCGTGCACGTTCCGTCCTAAAATGCATGACGTAAAGAAATTGTAAAGGTATCCAAAAGAGTACGGAAAGGTCAGAATAAACGCATGCTTTCCGTGAAGGATTCGCGGTAAAGGACACGGAAAGAGAGTGCTTAACTACGCCTTTAAGCATCTGCAAGTCGCGGAAAGGCGCCGTGAAAGTGGGAAAATAAATGCCCTTTCCGAACTTCCGGAAAGTCCACGTTAAGGCAATCTTTACGTTCGCGTTTAGGGGTTGTAAAGGTGCGGAAAGTGGGAAGAAACGCGGCCTTTACGCTGTGTTTAAGCGTGCTTAAATATCATTTTTCGTGCCGTGGATGTTTAATGTTGTCCAACATTTTTTTTTTCAAAATGGGCAATTTCTAGCTTTGTCTTTCGTTTTTGAGACGATGTTGGTGTTGTGTGGATCAGGGCTAGGACCGTGCGGCTCGTAGCTGCACCGTGCGGGCCGGTGCTGCACTTACACGTAGGTGTAAGGGAAGTTAATGTGACAGGTTGTCGCATTAACTTCCCCTAAATAGATTTCGTCGTAGATGATAAATACCTGATTCCACTCCACAAAAGTCCCCAACAAACCCCTCTGAGCACAGACACGTGTAGTTTCCTACACCATCCAGGCAGGTAGCGTTGTTCTGGCACACGTTGTCTTCACAGTCATCGATGTTAATTTCGCAGTTTTGCCCTGTGAAACCAGCCTTGCAGATGCAACTGTAGTCTCTGAGTTGATCTACACACCGGTTGTCACCACAAGGTGCTGATGCACACTCGTCGGTGTCTTTGCAGGAAATAGAGATGGGCGTTAACAGGAGTCAGTTTATCTGAAACAGGTTTTACACTTTAGCTACTCTAACCCTTATGCCATGTTTTAAAGTGTGCAAGTATATTCCTAAAAAGAAATTCAGTTGGGAGGGCTACTTAATGAGCCTGCTGGTTTGTCGCAATCGCCATGCACTTTCTAAAATAACTTAAACACAACTGCAATTGTATGGCATACGAAAGGTTCAGGTCAGCATTTAAACAAAAAATGTGTTTTTAAGGCTAGATAACAGCTGTTATCTCATTTCTAGCCAATACCTATCTATGTAAGAACCATAAGTATCTTGTAAAAAGTATGAATGTTCAAAAATCAAAAAATTCACACGCCAATTGTATTCAAAAACAAAAACATACCAGAAAATATTTGGCAATGCCAGGAATTGAAATATTTGATTATAAACAATAAATTAAATTATAATTACCGTCGCACAAACTTGGGATTTGGAGCGACACTTTTCTTTGTTCAGCTGTGCCAAGTTGAGACCAGCTAAGCACATCTCCAGCATCCTTGTTGACGCACGTTCTTGCCATGTCCAGAAGGTCTGACTCGTTCTTGGCATGACTCCAGATGTTCACGTTGCTGATGAAGCCGGCAAATGGTTCCATTCCATTTTGTTCTCCTAGTAAATGAATAATCACCACATCAATCATTATTTCTAAATTTATCTACACGGGCATAATAGGTATGCAAACTTAAAGAATGTGATTATAAAGCACTCTTTTATATAATTCAATTTATTGATATTATTTTCTTTAGATAAAACTATGCATGTGTAATCACCAAACATTCTAAACTGCTGTTGATAAATACATTTAAATGGCTTGATTTTTCTACAATCTTTAAGCTACGAGTACAAACAAAAAAAAATTGGATAAGATACAAACCATCAGCAATGTGATATCCGAGCCATAATGACCCACGCTGATTGATAGTTTCTTGAAGATGTTGTTGCCGTTGCGTAAAACTGCCTTCGGTGACAACGGACCCGTCAACAGTAATCGTGTACGTGTTGTTCGTGGTTCTGTATACGACTCCAACATGGTGCCAGGTCTCATGGCGCAAAGTAGTTCCTGTCTGAATCTCTACAGTGTCGTTATCTCTGCAACATCATTTCACTTCTTATTAATTTTTCATTTTTACCTTCGACAAGAAATTTATATTTTCACTGCAGGGGCGTTTGTTTAAAATGTTTAAAGCAGGATAATTCAAGAACCGATTGTCGGATCGTTCTGATTTTTGGTATGTTGTTAGCTTAATTGATGCTTGAGATACTGATATTACAATTATGCAAAAAGGGATGTTATTTGCATTATTTATGAGGAAATTCTATAACTCAATAGAAACTCTATAGCTGCATTTTATAACAGGACTATTCAAGCTTGTGCCATATTAATTAAGAACAAGAGAAACAACGATTATGCAAATGCATTTGGGTAATTAATAAAAACGTTATACTTCCAAAGTGGTAACTGCCTGGAATTTTATACTTAGGGTATTAAAAAGGTAATTGAAGGTGAATATAACCTATTCAAATAACAACCGCATTTGCATAATTTATGAGAAAATGCTAAAATGGCATTCTTGTTTAAGATAACACTGTGCTTTGGTGTATAATATGATCAGCAGCTATATCTTTTTTACAATTTAGGATCCTATTTGCATAATTATGAGGATTAATATTTCAGTCATAATAAATCATACAGGCTAACATCATTTGGCAAAGGTAAGTGATCGTAGAACTCTAGTTCATATATAAGAAGGAACCTTCAAGAGTCGTAGTGTACCAGTCAGCGTGTAAACAGAAAGGTCCGCGCAATCATCCAAAAAGTATAGATTATGATAATCAATAACTTTTTGGGCAATTTAAAATACTATCGTTGTCTTCAAATAGGTTTTTTCTAAGAGAATCTAGAAATAAAACCTAAATGTATTTACCAACTCTAAATCCGTATGGAATTTTAGGTATTTTGGTTCAAAAATGGAGAGCTTTAGTCTATTTGAGAAATTTGGCTGGACAAGAAGAAAAATGAGAAGCAGCATGAGGAAAAGCAATATATTGTACCCATACCGTGATATCACCTATTGTAAATTGTATCTTCAGATGTGTTTAGTCACCCTTAGATAAATATAAACATCACTAATCATATACACACCTTCTTAGTCCGAAGAGTGGACTGTGCGGTGATTTCATGTACAGACAGGGGTACAGGGCAGATGCATTACCCACACCATCAGAAGCGGTGTCAACGCAATGGTAGTAGAAAATCGATGCATTTCGGTCACAGTTTTTATCAAACCAAAGCCAGAAAGATACAGTGATGCCGCTGGAGTTTTTGAACTCCATATCACCATAGCGAACATAACTTGAATAATTTTGATTTTGCGATGGAAACTGGAAATCAAAATCTGAAAAAAAAAGAAAAATTCAACCATTATGACAAAAAACACCATTGGTTGATTGAACATTTGGTGCCCTCACCACAAGAGCTTGATTGGTCAAGAGTTAATTAAAACATAGGACAAAATTGCAAAGACCATGCCATGCACAAGCTATGACTTTGATATTTAAAAAAAGGTCTGTGGCTTGAGGTGGTATTGCATGCATAGCAGGCAAAACATCGTCCATCTAGATTTTTTTAATTTAATGTTGTTTGTGTGTGTACTTTTTACATTACATTTCTAACGAAATGTCACGGTTGATATATCCATTAAAGTTTCAAGAGATATATACAAACTTACTCTCACAAGCTGACGCGTTGACCGCTCCTTCGAGCAATGTCGTAGTAGCTGGTTGGCAGGAAATGCAGGACAACTGACCACGCGTTGGTTGATATTCACCACTGTTACAGGGAGTACAGGGCTGGACGCCATTTGATGAAAATGTCCCTGGTTTACATTCATCTGCAAAAAAAAAGATTGGTGTCATGGAACTGTACACAACTATGTTGCCTTACCTTAAACTTTTAGGTAATTTAGAATATTTGCTGCAACTGAAATTCAAACAGATCTTCAGAAATCCCGATTTTCGGCAAAACAAGTCACAGCTCTCAGAGACTTTTATAAGATTTATAATACATTTAAGGATAGGATGCACCCTTAACAAAAATATAACATATCATTGACATGTGCTGGAATTTATTGTTTCCTCTATAACTTATATTATTGTCAGAGACTTTTATAAAATCTATGTTTATTTTTTCCGACTTTAGGATGCACTTTACACAGGTTACGTATCATTGCCATGTGCTTGGATTGATTGTCTTCTGTATAACTTATATTATCAGTAGGTATTCTTTCATCTCGTGGATAGGTTAACTTATAAAGTAGTTCTTATTTTAATACTCACGCTTGCAATCGGTGCTATTGCTTGCTCCTTCGCTCACGGTGCTTTGTCCGTAAGGACATCTCTTACAGCTATGCTGAGAGCTTTCGTCTTGGTAGCTGCCGATTGGACACGTTTGGCATTGCTTGGCTGTGCTGTTGTAAAAAGTCCCCACAGAACACCCAACTGTGTGTAGAGAAGAAATGTCATTTAGAAGATGATTTCAATATTTAAGAAAGCGAAAAATTGCAAATTAGTTCCTTACGCGTAGAGGTAACGATCATGATTATGTAATATTTTATGGTTATGATTATCATAAGAATGTTGCAATTATTTAACTTAATCAAACTTTTAGGGAAGATAAAAAAAAATATTTACCGCAAGAAAGCGTGTTGTAACGAGGCTCCATGCCGACTGGGCACTGAATTTCACTCAGCCCAGGTTTGAAGGATTTCATGTTCAGAAAGTCATCTGACCCTGTAAGATTCTTCAATGTCCAATTTCCTGAAGAGGCAAGTCTGACTGTTTCCTCCGCTAACGAATATAGTACCTGTTCACCCTCGTACACAGAAATGTCACCAGAAATCGGCAATGCAAAGTCAAACTTAATTGTTAGTACAAATGGTTCAGATGAGTTTACTGGTGCATCTGCAATTTTTCGTCCAGTGGTCTCACCACAGATAACGTTAACATCATCTACTGCGCAGTTTAGGTTAACACAAATAAAGCCAAATGCCGACTCTAAAAATATCTGGACAAAGTTTAGTCTGATTTGTTCCTGTGTGTCAGCAGTCCCACAGTCTCCAATGAAGTATTGAAGTTCGGAGGGTAGTGTGATGCTATTCGGACGTTTATCTTCTAAAAGTGGGACGAAAAAAATAGTTTATTGTTCATTGTAGCAATATACCATGATCCTTATGTAGCATGTAAGGAAATTCTAAAACAATGTTACATACAAACTTATTGGATTAGTATAAAGTTAACGATTTTATCAAATAGTAAAATACTGGTAGCATAAAAGCTTTTTTTTGCGTTGTGTTTTTATTAATCCATTAGCTCTCAAAATTTTAAAGTTTGTGCACATAAAAACTGTCTACTCTCTCACTCAGAGTGCAAGTAATCAAGCAACGTGCTCTCAGGTGACCGTACAAATAACTGCTAGTTATAAGTACCAGAGAGTAGGTTAACTTTATATCGTCTGTTTTTCTCCATTAAATAATCGTGGGTGGTTACCTGAGCAGTGTGGTGGGTCCGGGTAGTCCCAGTTTCCCGAGCTTCCGCAAACCCAGAGAGAGTTTCTTACTGGCTCATCTCGATCTGGTGGGATGTCATATTGGTCATTGCAGAGCATTGTGCAGTGTTTACCGTAAAGCCATGTATCACAAGCCAACGCTCCATTCTGTGGTACTCTGAGAGGTCGGCATGGATGTCCTGAAAAGTAAGCATGGGGGAGAGATGTCATTATGTTTATAACTACATTTCAAATTAGAAGATTAACAAAGTTTACAAACACAAAGCACATGTTTAAGGAAATAGTGTAATTAAAAAAAAACCTATAATGTGAGAATCATTACCTTCACACTTAGGCTGGCTGCCCTCCAATTGCTCCCAATCCCAGTAGCCAACCGGAGGGTCCCCTTCCTTGATACAGTACGAGAAGTTCGTACCGATGAGCTGGGCCCCATCCTCACACGAGAACTCGCAACGTGAACCGTACGAGTTGCCGCCAGGACATGACACAAGTTGGTACGGCTTCTTGTGTATGACTGGACAGGTGATTGCTGAAATACATTCAGTCATTGAAATGTTTCAGATTGTGTTGGAAACATAGCGAAGAAAACAGTATTTTTACTCTTTCCGTCATACATCAAGGGTACTTTGTTATTTGAAATGTACGTTTTCTGCTTGTTCTGTATAACATCATTTACGTGCACTTACATCAGCTCTGAATCTTTACCGAGTACTTTTAAACGATGTAAACAACGGTTTTTAATTACTTTATCAGAACCATTTACATAATATATATATATACTTCATATATAAGATAAATAAAATCCAAAAGCGCCAGAAACAGAATAAATCAAAGTCATAGTCCCGTTTCAATGTCAAAGACAATTTTTGAGGTTAAATCAAAATGCGGTTATCACCTCTAACTGACACCGTGAGTTCACAAGGAGTTGCCTCATTGCCTGCTCTGTCTGTTGCCGTATAGAGGACTGAATGGGACCCAACAGTGAACGATGACCCTGGTGGTTGCCCCATTGATAGTTTTGCCGTGATGCTGAAGTCTGCGTTGTCCACTACTGTCGGCTCATCCCAAACTACAGATACATCCTGCTCGTTCATATCTAGATACTCAATGATGAGAGGCCCTGGGCAGTCAATGATTTTTGGCCTCATGATATCTGCAATACATGTAATGGAAAAATGCTATAATAGCAAAGAATTACAAGTTGAACCAACAGAACATATATCTATACTAATGATTAAAAAAGATAATCTGTTTCAACGTCATTCTAAGCTACTGTTAGATTAAGGCGGCCTAGGCTGATATTAATGTTCGAGTTCGGGCGTGTGTCTGCACGAGGGCCACAGACGGTTTTTCAAACCCGAATCATGTTCCACCATGTTCAATATGATGTTATTCGAATAGAACGCGTGTTCGAATTCGGGGTCACTTGCGGTCATTTGTATGTTTCCCCTTAAACCCGCGTTGTTACGCACTGTACTCACGGATTGTGACTTAAACTGTTTTACGCGCAGCTGAAAACAACATAATTGATCTTTAGAGTAATCCATGTTTATCGCTTTCTTATTAAATTTGCCTAAGGCTATTGTTCATAAGTGTTTAATTTTCCTTGCTGGGCCGATTTTAAAGTAATATTGCAAAGAAATAGCAATTTCTTGTGGTTTTGACCCAAAAACAAAACAAAAAACTAATCTTATTAGTAAAAAAAAAACGCCTAAGACAAAAATAATCTGTATGGGCTTGGCTCTCATCTTGTGAAATACAACGATGAAAGGTGTAGCTGCCGCCTGCGCATAGATTCATGAAATAAACGGCTAAGTTTAACCAAAATTTGTATTCTTAACCCCAAATCCAGGAGTAGAAAAACTGAAGTAACTTTTAATCATTGTGTTTTAGTACTACTAAAAGTGTCTTAAGTTTCGTCATGGTGCGATCAAGCTATTAACCCTAAACAGTACACCTGGGGTCCGCGCGGACCCCAGCACTATATATTCTGTAATATCTTTTTTGTTTCTAAAGATTTTTTTCTGAAATTTTAGGTAATTGTCACCCACAAAGTTGTCTTTCAATACAGTGCAGAAAACTCCGTTTCTACCATTTATAAAAAAAATTATATCTGATTTTCTTTTGGGGTCCGCGCGGACCCCAGCCGGCTTTCGATCATAATGGATACACTGGCGTTCTTATACATTACCTTATTTCCGTTTTCATATGTTTTTATGCACTCATCGTATGTCTACCAAGTTTTCAAAGAATGGTGTAGTAATAGAATTAAATTTTAATAACTTTGGTGTAATTATAACGTCATATGACGTCAGAGCTAATAATATAGTCCGCCATATTGGATTTTGACCAATGACGTCATCAAATTAGCATATTCTATGCATATTAAATGATCTAACTTATATTTAATTATGTAAGATGTTATTAATGTTGGAAAAGAAGTGTAATTTAATATAAAACTCAGAAAATATTTATGTTTAAACCAAAATTACTTCTATTTTCAAAAAAACTGCCTGCTAGAAACCCGTTGCCATGACAACACAAAAAAACATCAACTTACCAGTATTAAACTAATATGAACTTTTTTTCAGAGACATTTTAGGAAAGGTCTCCAAATTTGATACTTCTACCGCAAGCCGTTCAGCCGCTATCTGAGATCAAAGTTGGGCCTCAAAAGCCCCTTCAGTCTGAAATGGGTTTAAAAATCGGGTATTTCTTCTTGTCTTCTTTTCTTCACCAAAAAATAGAAAAAGTTCAAAATGTATGATTTTTGTATGTGATGTGGACAAGGAGGTTCCCACATCAGTTTGCAAAGCAATTGAGCTGGTAGCATGTTGATAATTTCTAAAAATTAGCAAAAAACTGTTCTGGGGTCCGCGCGGACCCCAGGTGTACAGATTAATCAGTCGAGGAAGGTGTACTGTTGAGGGTTAAATGTTTAAGTCTGTATAGAATATCTCTTTTTTATAAGCCTGGGCCGCCTTAACCCAACCGAGTACGTTGGAAGCATACAGCTTTAATTACAAGCTCTATTCTTGCATAATTTTAAAAGGAGAACACTCTGATATGTCCTAAGATCAAAGAGTAATTTTTTTACATAAACAATAGCTATTTTGTATATCAAAAATCCAGTTTCGAATTTGTACGTTCCACTTGCCTTTGCACTGTGGCTGATTGCCCGTCCATTCTGCAGCGGCAGTGCACACTCGTACTCGGTTCATCCCACTCGGTATGTCAAACCCTTCGTCGCAGCTGTAGGTGCACTCACTGAGGAAGTTGTATTCGTCGGTACAGGAAACTCTCCCTCGGAATGGCGGCCTTAGTGGTTCGCATTGTACTTCTAGAAAGATGTAACTTATATAGTTAAAAATCCAAATAAATTAAGAATATTTCAGGATTTAAAATATATGGTACCTGTATCTAATGCTACAGGCACAACCCGCCGTACGTGCTTCTGCGTGCTGTCTACATGCAAAAACGTGGGTAAACGCAGGGCATCCGTGCGTGGTGAGTACCACCTCCGTACGGAATCCTACGGATTTGGGAGCATGCAGACACCCCGTAGAACTTTAAGTGCATGTAAAACTTTTTTTCTACGTGCGGTCTGCGGATTCACCACCCGTGCGTGCGAGTACGAGCGACGCGCGTGCCCCGTACGTACCGTGGGGAAGAAGCACGTGTGATGACGACCTCCTTACGGTAAAGTTGCAATCGCACAGAGATCGTACGTTGTAAGCATGTACACCTCACTTACCACTTGCGCAACGTACGAAGCACGCAACCGCTCACGGTCAGACTTGGCGTGCAGACCCCACTTTTACACTTTGCGCAACCGTGCAAGTGACGTGCGTGTGACGTGCGTCGACGCCACTCCTTCATCATGTTTTCAGAAAAACGTAGCAGACGTGGCCTCCCCCCCCAAAAAAAAACAACATACGGACAAAAAGCACGCATGGCGGGTTGTGACCGCAGCTTAACTTAACAATATTTTTGATAAGTCACTCACCATTCCGATTGCGACTACAATGTGCTTAGCTATATACACCGGCAAGATAAATCTAGACAGCGATACGTGTTTAAAACACAATGAAAGTAAATAAATGTCTTCACGCAGCATATTAAAAAAAAAAGGCAGATATATGCATAACATATACATATACTTACTTATACAGGTAACGTCTGCGCCATCCCATGCCCCAGAAGCAGTGCATGTCCTCATATTTTGTGCTGATTCGTCACTTAAGGAATATCCATAAGCACATGTCGCTACGAAAGTCGTTCCAAGAAGTACGTTGTAATCGTTTGTGTCAGGGTAGAACTTAACTAACATTATTCCTTGTTCTACCAGACGACCTATGTGCTGTTGCTGTGTCGGATGTGGGCACCGTATGACTGTCGAACAATACAAAAAATAATTAGATGAACAGCAAAAAGAAGCTATTTTCATTAGAGGCCATTACCCTTCACTTAACTGCCACCGGCAGAAGAAGAGGTCCGGAGTGACTGGTCAAAAGCTCTAGGTGAGAACATTTACCTTTGTGTTGCAAGAGAAGAGTTTTAACTTCAACAAGCAACCACGATGTTTCGAAGATAGCTATGCAAAGGTATGTCACTTCTTCCCCATCACAAGAGCTACCTACCAACTAAGTTTTGTGACATTAATTTGTCTCGTTAATGGTATATTGAAACCAGAAGTTCAGCTGTAGTAGTATAACAAGACGCCAGGGCGCCAAATCTCTAATCATGTCTAGGTCTTATTAAGACCTACCCACCTTTTTAAAAAATATGAAGACAATCCATACCTTCATGAAATATTGGCTTGAAATGTAACTAAAATGTCTTATTTAATTCAATGACCCCTACATTGATATAACAAATGAATCGCGATGTTAACTTTAGACTAATTTCCAGATGTTCCAAGTATGTGATTACCATCATTTACCGCTAAAATTTCAAATTAATTATGTTTATAAATTAGTTTCATATTTGCAAACTTGGTATCTGGTGACATTCCACCTGCCGTAAATTGTAAACATTACATGTATCAAAGTACTATGATGTAAAACATTGGAATTACAGAATTTCCTTACTAATTATGCAAATTAGGTAATAATTCTCATAATTTACATTCAATAATGTAGATATCTGTCTAAGCTACCGACATACCAAAAGTCATAAAAATACATAATTCGTTCCTTTGTGAAATTATCTGCCCTGAAAGGTTTCGCCAGAACCCCCTCCCCCTGCAGTTCCAGAACAAGCTGCTAGGGAGACTTGTCAGGAAAAGCTATCTACCACTGAAAAATCAAGAGCACAACATACGCAGGACAAAAAGATACAAAAACCGGAAGCTCTGCTGCAGTGCCAGGGTCAGCCACCTTGAGGCCCAAAGTTGACATTGATCTTTGCCTACCCTACACCCACGCACATTGCATATGCTGGCTACAAATGTGCTTAAACACAAGCACAGACAGACGGAAAAACAGACAGACAGACACACAGACAGACACGCCAAAAACAAACCCTCCATTTTTCATGGAGGTAGTAATCTACTTACCGCTTACAGTGATGAGAAAGGAACAGGAGTTGAAGTTACCAGAAGCGTCGGTCGCAGAATATCTAACGCTGTATGGCCATTCGCTGGCTTTCAATGTTTCACCTGGTTTCAGCCACTCAGGATCCCGTCTGGTCCTATGTTTATAAATACTTATTTTATACTCTCAGTTTCTATACATTTTCTCTAGATTTAAACAATTATAGAGCATTGATCTGTTCTCTTCTCAAGGGATAACTCTCAGCACCGGGTTACCAGCACTCCTCTATCAGCCCCGAAGGAATCAATTTCCACCTGCCTATGGCCTCCCATAACACAACCAAATTGCTCCCAACCATAGTTGGAAACAGGCCAGGCGCAAGGTTGACTGCATTAGCTTCTTCGAGGCACCGGGTCACTGGTAACCCTGAAAATGACGTTTGTATAGTTTTGGATTGTTTTGGGTTGCTTGCTATGAAACGGTTTCGTCAGCTTCAGACGTAATCTCTGCAGGCACTACTTGACGATAAACGGCGAAATGCCTGTGCTATGTGGGCTTTTCTACAAAGATCATTGCCGACCTGTTTATACGTTGCCGAAAGCGACTAAATTAACATTTTAAAGCATTTTTTGGCACTACGGCTATATTGCAGTGACATAGAAACCGATTGTATGTGTACGTACGAAACATCAGGATCTCTAGCATCATACGCTACAGGCTCTGTCCAGGATACGGTACATTCCGTCTCCAGCGCCGGTGCATACAGGTGCATGTCTCTAGGACACTCAATCACAGGTATTGTTCTATCTACACATGTATGAAAGGGGTAGAGAAGCACACAGTTAGTTCAGTAAAGCTTTGTAATAGAATCAACTTTATGGTACCCTCAAATACCGTTTGAAGTAAATATCTGATGCCCCTAAAGTAAATGTCTTCTCTTTTCTATATATCTTTCCTCTTTCTCGATGGTTGTCCTCATATAAAACAGTATATGTCATTCATTAACCCCATAAGTCAAAATTCCCTCCACCCCAAAGACAGTTTTCCATCTATTCATTATTCGCCAGACACAGATACTGACACAAATGTTCGTTATGTACAAACCTGGCGGAGGTTGAGCCGGACAATAAAGAATACAACCAACGACCAGTCCGGCGATTAACCAGCCAATAAATCTTTCGTCCTTAAAACCTATAGGTAAAGAGAAAGGGAAGATAAATATCTTAAGGAAGGTTTTATACATACTAACATTATTTCTACGATAATGAAAATATGCAAACATTGTGTTTTACCCCCCTAAGAAGTTTATCTTTTGAGATGTGTTCGTGTGTGTGTCTGTGTGTGTGTGTCCGGAACCACGTATTTAAGAATCAGCAATCTCAACAAAGCTGAGGCAGAAATGTGAACATGAAAAACAAGACGCAAATATCGGAAAATAACCGAGACATGGCACGAGCCCTAGTCATGTGTAAGTGACTCACAATCGGAAAATAACCGAGACATGGCACGAGCCCTAGTCATGTGTAAGTGACTCACAATCGGAAAATAACCGAGACATGGCACGAGCCCTAGTCATGTGTAAGTGACTCACAATCGGAAAATAACCGAGACATGGCACGAGCCCTAGTCATGTGTAAGTGACTCACAATCGGAAAATAACCAAGACATGGCACGAGCCCTAGTCATGTGTAAGTGACTCACAATCGGAAAATAACCGAGACATGGCACGAGCCCTAGTCATGTGTAAGTGACTCACAATCGGAAAATAACCGAGACATGGCACGAGCCCTAGTCATGTGGAAGTGACTCACAATCGGAAAATAACCGAGACATGGCACGAGCCCTAGTCATGTGTAAGTGACTCACAATCGGAAAATAACCGAGACATGGCACGAGCCCTAGTCATGTGGAAGTGACTCACAGTCTTCCTACTTTTTTTTAAATTTTGACATTACTAACCTTCATTGAAAAAATGACATTGTGCTAAGTTTACTGCCAACTATTACAACACGCCTTTGTCAGTACAGCAACTTTGTAAAATAAATTTTCATTCATTGTGCAAAGTATCTTTTATTCAATGGGAAGGGCACATGTGTATACATAAACACCACCACATATAAAAGAATGACATGCATGGCTGCGTCAACATAAAAAAATAACAATAGATCAGAGCATTGTCTTGTCACTGTCTTTGCCTACTTACTATATGTTAATCATTGTCAGTGGGCAACGAAATTTCTTTTTTTCCCAAATCAGGCAAAATTAATGCGCGCATTAATTAATTAATTAATGCCCTCTTTCTGTGCCCTGATACCAATATAAGTTGAAAAGACCTAAATGTATGAGTTAGTTAAATACCAAACGCTTTAAAATTATGACGTTGCACTATCTTGCATGCATTTGTAAAATAGATAGTATATACAATCACTTAGATGCATTTATGAAAATATTATTTTTACGTTACTTTCCTTCATCGATGACGAGATATTGAGTTGCATCCCTGCAGTACCACAAAACATTCTTCTGGCTCTCCACATCAAGGACTGCCACGTTGCCGTAAAGTAGGATTATTGTCGCAGGCTTGTTTATTGTCACTTTCTGCAAAATGATCATAATAGACATACCTGTTAACTGATGAATAGATTCTGCTCAGTAAAAATTAAATAGTGAACACTTATTTTGATCACATCTTTCTGTTTTGTGCTGACACAGGGGCCACATATTTATAATTGTTCGTACGGCTTCAAAGAAGCAAGGGTAACAAATATGACTTATTTTTCTGGACCATCTTTCGGAGCGAACGAAAACAGCAATAAATCTCCCCCTGTCCTGATTCTTTCTTTTCATCACATCTTCTCATTACATTTTGCGACACTGTCTTGACACTCTGATCATAATACAGAAGCAGAATTTTTGGAAAAAAATTCCAGTAACAGTCAACAATCAAATAACTTTGACCTAAAACGGTGACAGTGCTCTGTAAATCTGTGGCAAACCCTTTCGGGGTGTTCTGTAGAATAAAAAAAGGAAAAAAAAGGAGTACCGACTTTCTTTTGTACTCTAGACCAAATTGATTTCTAGTATTAAAAAATGTTTATCTATTAGAACAATGTCCCTCTGACGAAGACATGAGATCTCCGACCTCTAGTTCAAACATGTAATCACTAGACGTGTCATGACGGCACACTCAAGTTTTTCCAACTTATATTAATGTAATTTAAGCCCTACGTTATTCAATTTATTTGTGAGTAATATATATTGTACCTCAATTCTTCTTCTTCTTCTTTTCGAATACCCTCGAACAACCCCTGTACGGGGTATCACTGAATTGGGGGAAGCGGAACACGGGTTAGGGCAGGGCGGCTTCTACCCTGGCCTTAAAAGCCTCTACTGTCGGTGCCCTCACCACTGGGCCCGGCAGCTGATTCCACTCGCTTACCGTACGAGGAAAAAAAGAAAATTTAAAACAGTCTTTACGTGCTGCGAGTAACTGGAATTTGTAATCATGGCTGCCTCTGGTCCTTTTTGGGGCAGGTTTCAGGTATTTGTCATAAGGGATATTGATGGCACCATGGATAATCTTATAGAATGTGGTTAGGCGTGCATGCCGCCTCCTGGCTGACAAGAGCGGCCAGTTTAAACTTTCCAACATTTGTGTTACACTACTTGTCTGTCAATAGTCATTGACTGTCATACGGGCTGCTCTGCGTTGTACTCTTTCTAGTGTCTGCGCCTTACTAGCAGTGTGGGGGTCCGATACTACTGCACTGTATTCTAGGTGGAGGCGGACTAGTGTTTTGTAGCATGTGTCCTTTACCCGCAATGGGCAGTGTGCTAGGTTACGCCTAATAACTGCTAGTATACGATTTGCTTTACCAATAGTGTAGTTAATGTGCGTATCCCACCGCAGATCATCTGAGATCTGAACTCCAAGGTAAGGGTGGGTCTTAACACTTACTAGGTTTTCTGAACAAAGAGAATACTGTGTGATAACTGGATTTCTTTTACGAGTAATATGCGAAGTATGACACTTGGATGGATTAAAGGACATTTGTCACTGGTTTTGCCACTGAGTCAATGCATCTAGGTCTGATTGTAGACATGCAGCATCCGATGGTTTGTCAATTATGCGATAAAGTAAACAATCGTCAGCGAACAAGCGCACATTGGAGTTTACCACGTCAGGCAGATCGTTAATATAGAGAAGAAAAAGGAGGGGGCCCAGAGCAGTGCCTTGTGGTACTCCGGATATGACCCTAGCGGGTCTAGATCCTTCGCCATCAACAACAACTGTCTGGGTTCTCTGTGTAAGAAAAGCTTCCAGCCAAAGTAGGAGTTGACCAGAGATGCCATAATGCTTGATTTTACTCAGTAAACGCATGTGCGGCACAGTATCAAATGCTTTACTAAAATCAAGCACTATAGCGTCAACTTGTTTATTTTGGTGTAGAGCACTAGCCAAGTCATGAGTGGTAATCAATAGTTGACTTTCACAGGAGAGTCCTTTTCTAAATCCATGTTGGGCTGGGGACAATATATTATAACGATCTAGGTGTTTCATTACATGACTATGAATAATATGTTCTAATACTTTGCTACAAACCGAAGTAAGTGATACTGGTCTATAATTGGATGGTGAAGTCTTATCACCCTTTTTGTATATAGGAGTAACGTTGGCAGATCTCCAGTCAGCTGGGACCTCTCCTGTGGTCAACGACTGAACGAATTCAACAGCACTCACTGCGATCCCCCTGTTATGCACAACAAAAGGGTTCCCTGCCTATTATATGCTGATGACTTTGTGATTTTTTCCGAGTCCAAACAGGGGCTACAACATTCTTTGAACTATTTGAGAAATTACTGTACACTTTGGAAATTAAATTTAAATCTTTAAAAAACTAAAATTATTGTATTTACAAAGGGTGGCCGCTTACCCAAAAATTGCTCGTTTTTATTCGACAATCATGTAGTTGAAATTGTATCGTCATATACTTAAAAAAGAAAAGGAAAGAAAAGGTCTCCCATGCTTCTTATGCAGAGCGTAGGGTGGTGCCCATATCCATTTCTGTAGCCCTTGGGCGACACACAGTTGTGCAATGCACTACAGCAGGGGGCTGGTCCGCTGGTAGTGCTGTGTGTTTGACCTCCCCACACTTTTTCTCATATGTGCTGAGTGCTAAGCAGAGAAAGAAGTGTGTACCATTTTTAAAGTCTTTGGTATGACCCGGCCGGGGTTTGAACTCACGACCTCCCGGTTACAAAGCGAGCACTCTACCAATTGAGCTATTGCACCGGCTAATATACTTATCTCGGCATTATTGTGAACTCAGCCGACACGTTTAAAGCAAATAATAAGTACTTGAGTTGCAAGGGTTTGAAAGCTTTTTTCGGAATTAAACAGTCAATAAATTAAGCCAACGCCTCACTATAAGTAAAAACAAACCTTTCGACGCTTGTGCAAAACATATTTTACTTTACGGCTCAGAAATTTGGGGCTCAGCCAAAAGCCTTAAACTCTGCCCCATTGAATCCGTCCACCTTAAATTCTGTAAACAGTCTCTGAACGTTCCTAGATCCGCCTGTAACCTTGCATCAAGGGCGGAACCTTAAATTCTGTAAACAGTCTCTGAACGTTCCTACATCCGCCTGTAACCTTGCATCAAGGGAACTAGGGAGGTACCCAATGCACGTGGAGGCCTCCCTAAATGCCATTATGTATTTCCTGACAGTCTGCAAGCGGACGCCCTCTCATGTCTACTACAACTAGAGACTAGCGGCAATAAATGCTGGGCGTCCGGTATTCGTAAAACTTTGGAGGAATGCGGTTTTGCTTAGGTATGGCTTCCTAATATATCTCTTAGAACAAACCTATCACCAATAATTAACTCCATCAGCCAACGATTGAAAGATATTTACACCCAAAAATTTATCACTGAAATCCACAATGACCATAACAGAGGTACATCTTCTAGTAACAAGTTACGAACGTACCGTTTGTTTAAAAGTATATATAAAGAAGAAGAGTACCTATCGGTTAACAACATACAACACAGGGTAGCTGCAACTAAACTCCGAAAAAGTTGCCACAAATTACTCATTGAAACGGGAAGGCACAACCGCATTCCTCTCCAGAACAGACTCTGTCAATACTGTAACATGAATAGAATAGAAGATGATACTTACTTGATACTTGATACTCAAGTAGAAGATGAACAACACTTTATTTTAGACTGTACTTTATATTCTAATGAAAGATCTGTCCTTTTTTAATTATATCAATGAGAAGTTCCCATACTTTGAACACCTAAGCGCAAATGATAAATTTATATTTTTAATGTGTCTAGACAAACCCTGTATTACAAACATGATCTGCTCCCACATTTCCACTGTACAAAAAAGCGAGAAGAAGTTGATCTCTCTATATTTTTTTTTATTTATTCCGAAACATTTAATCACAAGACGTGGTGACGGCACACTCAAGTTTTTTCAACTTATATTAATGCCGCCACCAACACAGGGACAGTACAATACTCATTTACACCTGGGCGAAGTGAGGAAAGTCGTGTAAAGTGCAAGTGCACAAGATCGGTGGCATGTCAGGACTCGAACCCGGGGCCTCTGGTTCCGAGTCGAGAACGCTGCCGCTGCGCCACACGACCACACGACCAGACGTCCCCACCTCTCTATATTAGCTCAGTAAATAGAACACTTTGTATTAGCCTAGTATAGTACCCTTGCATGTTCCTTATGTTTGTATGCCTAAGTCAAGTGGTGCATCTTTTGTCTCCAATTTTCTACATACGGTTGTTACGTGTCTGTCATATCTTGACCTGTACCTAGCCCGTCGTGGCATTTAAGTACAATAAAGGTATTTCAATTTCAATTAATGCCGCCACCAACACAGGGACAAATACATGACAGGGCAGTACTCATTTTACAATGAGCGAAGTGAGGAAAGTCGTGTAAAGTGCCTTTTCCAAGGGAACAAGATCGGTGGCATGTCAGGACTAGAACCCGGGACCTCTAGGGTTCCGAGTCGCGCACTCTGCCGCTACGCCACACGACCCCACCCTGATCTGGGTAATATGAACAGAACACGAGAAACATTTGAAGAACCACCCTGCACCCCCATTGCAATAACAAATACAAACCGCTATACTATCATTTTGTTTTAAGGCCACAGCAAGAAAATTTTATGGATGACATCCTCCGCAGACTCCAAATCTAATGCGATCGGGCGAAAAAAACAAGGCGGGCCGAAAAAAACAAGGTTCCTACATTTTAAAACTTTGACTCCATCATTGTACAAATGGTTTTGATTCAGCGGGAACATCACATATACACAGCCAACATCACATAACACTGCATCAAAATAAGAAACAAAACATTAGATCAGAGTCCTTTCTTGTCTCCTTAGTCTTTCTTGTCTCCTCTCTCCTTAGTTATCTACCATCCACCTTCCGGCATGGCAACAGGCATCTTTGCCCATTTTGTGCATTTTCGGCATGTTGACCACTGTCAGAAGGCAACAGAATTTCTTTTCTTGTCAAAATCAGACGAAAATTAATGCGCGCGCTGGTGTCATCCATGAAAATTAC